GTAATTTTGATAAATTTTAAACAACTCATTTATTTATTTTCAGGTTGATGTAACAAGTGGAGTTGCTTATAAGCAGTCAAATCAGAAGTCCTCTAAATTCCACAAAATAAGAAATCCTCTCAAGAGTTTCTAGATTAGATACAAAGCCCAAATCCAATTCTTTCATAGAGAAAAATGCTTCCTCGGCATAAAAGTGGCATGTCGAACTGTCACGATATCAATTTTAAATAGTATTAGTTGGTAATCATATCAATTATAGGAATAAAATGTAAATAAGCAGAATTAGTGGTCACATACTATTTTTATTCGGTTTTGTAATCTTGGTTATTAATTTGAATCATAATTATTTGTTCTTATGTTTTTATATTAATGAGTTTTCTCACTTGAGGCAATATATATATATATATAAGAAGGAATTTATTTATTTTAAGAGTAAGTTTATTTAGACTTATTCTATTCGATAGTTGATGTTTTCTATCAAATTTTAATGGTTCAACTGTTAAATTTAAAATTTTTAATGCATAGATCAAATCTACAAAATTTTAAAAAATTTAAAAATCATTTGATTCTTCGTTTCATTAATTCAAATCAATATATAAGATGATTTTATGATTATCTGTTAATTTGAATTAATAAAAAGAAGTATCAAATGATTTTCAATTTTTTTTAAAATTTGTAAACTTAATCTATGTATTAAGAAATTTAAATTCAACAATTGAATCATTAAAATTTGATATAGAATATGAGTTATTAAGTAAAGTAAGTTTATGTGGACTTACTCTTAAAGTGAACAAATCTCTCCATCATCTTACTCCAAAAATAAGTATATTTAAACTTATTCTACTCAATAATTCATATTTTATACTAAATTTTAACAATTCAATTATTGAATTAAATTTTTTTAATGTATAATCATAAAAATATTTTATATATTAATTGATTTAAATTAATAAAAGAAAGTATAAATAGTTTTCAATTTTTCTGATGCCATATTTAAATATGATAGACTGATTAATGAACATGCCTTTACACCTAAAATCTGAACTACTTTTGAGCGAATATTTTGGCGTCTGTAAAGTCTATATCTAAATATTAAATAACTTTTAATATATTCTATTAGAGTACAATTAACTTTGAAAAATTGCTCCCTGCTTCACACTAAAATGTTGTATTGGGACTGTGAAAGATAAAAATATAGACGAGCACAAGAAGCAACTAAAAAAAAGTTTATTTAGATAAATTTCATCATAAATATTTATTAAAAAATAAATTAAATTTCTTTATAAACTAAAATTAGTTGATATTGAAACTAATTTGTTAAAGTTATTTTCTATTAGTATCTCTAAAATCTTAATTTTAATTTATTCGTAAACAAATAAAATATTGTAATTTTAGTTATGGATACTTGTGCTCACAGGTAGGAAAGTCTGATGTTAGTGTGTAGCTATGGATTGCTATCCTTACTAAGAAGAAGAAAACATCTTTAGTTTGAATTGTGGATGAGTGCTGTTGGGAAATGGGACTAACAAGTCACACTAACATTTTTTTTTTTCTGTTTTAAAAAGAAAATTTGATATTTTTTCTGACTTCATTGGTGTAGTCTGATAAGACTTACTTCTTGTTGTGGTATCTTTGATTTTACCAATGAAGGCCTAAGTTTTGACAACTTTGCTGATTGGTCCGAGAATAATAGTGCAAAAGTTGAGAATAGTAGTGTGTGGTGATGGTATTTTGAAGATTGTGCAATTAAGTTACAACAAGAAAACTAACCCAAAACTTTTTGTACAATTGTTGAATAGAATGTATTTTGGAAGAATTGTGAAGAATGAACTAAATGTCTATCATAAGATAAAATAAACTTTGAGTGGGAAGTTTTTAATAAAGTTAGTACAAAATTACTAGTATGTAAGATTTATTTACTTCTGCGTGTCCAAAATAATGAAAATATCAGTTTTAGCATCTTTGAGTTGAGACAACAAAACAAAATGTTGTAAGCATATCTTACTTTTAACCAAAACTTCACAAAATCCTTACTTTGATTTTGTAATACATCATTTGCTTTAATTTTTTTTCTATCCGTTTTCCACTAATATTAACAAATAAAGTGAATGAATGGTAATAGCATCTTGTAAAGTCAAGGGTTGAAGTAAAGGCTAAGTCATCTATACTTGTAATATGAGGGAGTAAAATGGGTGTTTATTCTTCTATCATAAGATATCATGAAATAGCATAGTAATCTAATAATCTTCTCCGTAAATAGTGTTAAGACCGATAGTATTGAATTCTTGCATTTAAAGAGTAATATGATAGGAACCAACATTAACAATTGTAGGAAGAAAATAAATCTAAATAATAACTTCAATATTCTCATTCATCTTCTCAAAGAGATGTTACAATGATTCCATATAAAGAGTAATGACAGAAACGGTCTAATAATCTCAACCCTCCAAAGGTGAGATCTAAACCTATTAGGGAATAAACTAAAAAAAACAAGCTTAAAGTCCAAAACTATAATACTCAACTCTTGGTAATGCCCATAAAAATACTGCTAATGGTCCAATACACTACTGGTAATAGTTTGATAGCCATGTTGGTATTCTTGAATAAAATTGGAAGAAGTGCATTGCTATGTTGAAATTGAAAAGTGATTTTATAGAGGTAGATTCATCTTCATTTCTACAAAGGGCTAAGTTAAAAAAATACGTGAATTATGATGGCATGAAAAATTAAGATATTTCTTTTTGCCTTGTTTACTATTTTCAATGTAAATTTTTGTTTTCTTGGAGTTTTAAAAGAATTTTTTTTTGAGGATAGAACAATAAATCATTATAAATACTCCGACAATCTACTTATAGATTTTGATAACACGTGTTAAATTTACAACAGTGTAAAATAATTATCTACAAAGAATTCTCATTAGTGAAATATTATGATCAACAAAAATTTAAGTAAAGTATTATTGTATTCAATGTCACGAAAACATATGTTGTGACATTAAATATGAGAAATATTATATCAATTATACATAAATTTGAATAATATATCTGGATATGTGATGTTTGGGTTAAAACTATATATTTTTCTTAATTTTTTCATTAATAGTGTAATAAATGAATTTAACATTCAACATTAATCGCATGAGAAAATAAACACATTTTATAATGTACACCTTTTCTTCCCATTCACCAATTTTTCATGAGTTGCCGACATGCCCCGTGAATGTCTTCTCATAGATCCTCATTCTAAACTCTTCAAAACTCGTAACAACCATCTTCTCCTTCACTAATAATGAAACAAATTAATAAATTTATTTTAGAATATAGTTTGTATTATTATTTGTTCTATAGATTGATAATATTGTATTTACAACAATGTATCTAATAATTTACATCTATTTTTAAATATTTAAATTTTTACAAAAAAATAAATAAATATAATTATAGAGTTAATTAATCAAACTCAACCCAATTTATTCGTGATTGAGTTGAGTTAAAAAAATTACATAAATCTGATATAATCCAACCTGTTAAATTTTGGTTGAATCTGAAAACAAATCTTTCCAAACCCGATTCAACTTTGACCCACTTACACTATTAGGAAGAACAATACGATGGTTCATGTGGAATAAAATGGAAAAAAAAATAATTTAAATCCTTGATTAAAGTTATCAAACCTATCGAATCATATTAATTTTCTAAAGGTGAGAGATACGTATAAGTCACCCACGGTAGCATGCACCTCGATATGTGCTTCAAATTCAAAACATGTTCAACCCAATTTATGAATACAACTAAAACTAAGGTCATACAAGTAAATGTATGTTTGAAGCAATTAAACCGAAAAATAGAGCATTTAAATAGAAAACCAAATACACGTGTAGATATTATCATTAATCTTTCGGTCTTCTGAAAGAAGGCATGTGTTTTCTACTGTTGACATTTTGTTAGTTATTTTACAAATTAATTACTTAATGATATATCATGTTTGAATAATTTTATTCAAAAATATTTTAAGAGGAATAAAATAAGAAAAAATGAAATAAATTTTATTATAAGATAAAATTAACTTATACACAAGATTAAAAAAATTATTTTAAAAAATTTAGAAAAATTTTAACAGATTAACTTATGAGTAAACCAATTTTAACTTTTGAAAAAAATTGTTTCATTTGTTCTTCTTATTTGAGTATTTTTTTTAAGAAGCTTATTTAAATAGAATAGTATTTTATACCTCTTCATCAATTATTTCTCTTGTATATCTTCTAAAAGATTAAATTACTTTTTTGTTCTCTCACTTTATTCAATTAGTTTAATTTGACACCTTTATTATTAAAATGTTCGATTTTGTCTCTTAATTTTTTAGAAACAATACAATGTAATCTTTTTTGTCAAATTAAAAATAACTGGCAATAAATTTTTGTAGTCATAATAATGTGAGGCATTTTCTATTTTGTCACATGTAAAAAATAAATTAATGTCATAAGTTTTAATTAAAAAGAACCATCTCGAATTCTTTTTTAAAATTTAGAGACTAAGTTAAATATTTTAATAACAAAGGGAACAAATTGAACAAATAAAATAAAATAAGAGATTAGAAGCGTAATTTTACTTTCTAAAATTTGCTTGAATCTGGACAAGAGGAATAAAGTATGTGGGCTACATGTGCACCCAACACTTGTATTAGCAGTCCCTAAATCTATTTACCTGAAAACATTCAATTCAATATGCGGGAAAAGGAAAACTGGTACAAAACAACTATGATGTGATAAGCTTGTTAAACTGTTATTTAATTTTATTGTTAAGAGTTTGAAGTTTATTTACTATATAAAATAAACTAGTTATTACTCTTTCATTCGGATACTAATAAATCCAATTAACAGAAAATCAAACATATTATAAATAGTCGATGGTCATCCAAAAAATTGTTATAACTGCGGTGCCTAAAACTCCACATTATCTAAATAAACAAAAAATGCAAGGCAATCATTTTTGCACATAAAATACATTGCAGCACCACGTCATATTATTAATTGGTAACTCAAACTCCATGCAATTTGTAGAATGTTCAGCTAAGTCTATTTTGGGAGAAATTGAACATTTTAAATGACTATAAGAGCAAAATGAAAATGGAAAGAAAAAAGAACATTAAAAGACATTCTAAATTTAACTGCAACATTCCGACTTAAACAAATACAAAATGCTTTAATTTTATTCAGTCTTCTGGTCCTCTATTGGAAGATTATAGAAAAATATTACCCACCATTAACATGGTATTATCTCCTTTAAATTACCAAAACTTGTTTCTAAGAAATAAGGCCATGATGCTAGATGATGTACAACCAGCTGATGATATTGGTAATCTTGCAAGATCACACACTGGTGCAGTTTCCACTATTCCATTCATTTACTTGTTGCAGCCAGCACCACAAGAGCAGCATTTCTGCAGTTTGTTAATAAGGGGTAAACTTTCATTTTCAATTTCAAATGAAGTAAAGAAAATAGACACATAAATCCAACCCCAATTATTCCCTGCAATCATTTTAAATCCAAAATCACATAAAATCATCCTAAAACTACCTTTTCTTTTGCAAGTCAGGATGTAGGTTTCAACTCAGGATCACCAAGTACAATTTTCAATGGCAAACACAAAAGATAAAATGCTCCCCCTAAAATGCCTTAATAGTTCAGAAAATGCATTGACGATATTTTGGTATAGATTAAATGAACTCACATTAAGAAATATTGCGGTTTGCACCAACTTTCATTCTCAACTCGTCAGCAGTGAGATTGTCTTCGGCTGGATCTTCATGTTTCAAACTTACATCTTTAGATACCAGATTATCATACTGATCTTTTAAGCTAGACGAGTCAATAGCCTCTGCAAGGCTCTGCTTAATTTTTTGCGCCAAAGCATCAATTCTATTCTTTGAATCTGAATCAGGAGTCTCTCCAGCCTTGGCCACCTCCCATTTCAATTGAGCTATCATGCTCTTAATATCATCTGATGAGTTTACCAAACTTTGAATTTTCTTTTCTATTTCTTCTTTTAAGCTAGACGAGTCAATAGCCTCTGCAAGGCTCTGCTTAATTTTTTGCGCCAAAGCATCAATTCTATTCTTTGAATCTGAATCAGGAGTCTCTCCAGCCTTGGCCACCTCCGATTTCAATTGAGCTATCATGCTCTTAATATCATCTGATGAGTTTACCAAACTTTCAATTTGCTTTTCTATTTCTTCTTTTAGTTCTTCTGCGCCTGGCTCTTGTCTGTCTTGTTCTCCAATGACTTCAAAGCCTGCTGACTCCAGAGCACTAACCAGCTGTGAGTCCACCTCTTTCCTAAACTCAACGATTTTCTTCTTCAACTCATCATCCAAATCACTTGGTGAGGATGCACCAGCATCTTCAATTTCAGCCTTTAATGCTTCAAACTTTTCCCTTATTTTAGGATCATTCAAGACAGGATCAACTTTCATCTTCAACTCTTGCTTCAATGTGGCAGCCTCCTTCTTTGTAGCTGACAAATGCTTCACTTTAGATAATTCTTTCAAACGGTTAAGCTTAGTCTGCAGCCTACCATAATTGGGAGCTGCTTGCAATCGCTGTTCAAACTCCACCCTTAGCTTTTCTACCTCATCCTTCAGTAATGGATCAATAGTTTCATTATCTGCATTTGCTTTTGAAACTTCCTCCCGTAACTTCAACAATTTGTCTGTCAAGCCCGCACCTTTAACTGCCTCGGAGTATTCTTGATCCACCTCCCTTTCCAGTTGCTGCATCATCTCATCCAGATCTAGTTTTGGAGGAACAGAAGATTCCTTAACTTCCGAAACCTGTTGTTTCAGTTTCTCAATCTCAACTTCTAGCTCAGCATCGGGAATCTTAGCGATAGATAGATCCCTCTTCTTCATATTGACCTTTCTCTTAGGATCTATAGGAATACCTTCCTGGAAACCACCAATCTTTCTGTACTTAAGCATGCGATGTTTTAATAGGTCTTCCGTGTTCATCTTGGAGAGCTCCTACATAATGGACAATCCGAAGTTCAAAAGTTAACATATGTTTTATCATTTTTGCTTGCAAAAGAACACTTGCTGCCAGCAAAACTTACATCCATGGTTTCATTGATTGTCTTTTTTATCTGTTTAGAGGTCCATTCTGGATCAGCATGTGCACCACCAAGTGGTTCCTATTGAAAAGATCAAATGAAATTCTACTTAGATTCTATTCCCAAGAGAAGTGTTATCTATCTATGCAATTACAAATGTTTATATTGTACGAGAAAAGATAAAATTAGAACAAATCAAAGGAGTTAATGGTTTAACAAATTTGCCAGAACACTGAAATACTTATCACACACACACACATATATATACCATTAAAATGATAAAACCCCATGTATATGAATAAGATTTAAAAAAAAGTTAAACTTACAGGTATAATACCATCTGCTATTTGTAATTTGCACAGTTCAGGGGCTGTAATCCTCAGTTTCTCAGCAGCCTGCACAGGATTATTATAAAAATAAAATAAAAATATATTATGAAATGAAAGAATCCAAGTACTGGCATCATATGTATACCTTCGGAGCAGCTTTAGCGCTCTTCCATAAGATTGCTGCACATGCCTCTGGACTAAATCATGTAATAAATAAAGATGAAACAAGGATAAGAGATCAGAAATACATTTTCAATTAGTAAATCGATCAATAATAGTACAAGTAGTGAACCATATGACTATCATATATATATATATATATATACGTGCAAAATGTTTAATGATAACAAAAGTAGTCAATCATATCACATATAAAAGTACACATACACACATATATGCCTGTGTGTGTAGCTGGTTCCAAGATGCAACTTGCATGATGGGTTATAACCAAGTTTAAATACAACTAAGAATCATTTTTAATGTTTTAAACACTTTACTTAACCGTTCATTTTAAACATAGTTATACAAAATTAATTTTGCTAACTACTTCACTAGTTTAAAATTTTGGTTCAAACTAAGGGGGGTCTTCATACAACCCGTTGTTTCTTGCCAGAACCATCATCTACATTATTAAATAATTCATAACTGGCATAAACATAATCATGTTCAACGTGATTCTGAATTAACAATATATGTTAGTACAAAATCATGAATAGAATCTGTTACTGATAAAGTTAGTTGGTTTGTTGGGCTGAGACAGGTTGAATACATAGGGCATACTTCCTATAAATAAGATGGGAGGTTAGGAGTGAGATGAATATTGTCATTTTATGACACAATTGGGACCTTTGGCATTGGGAGGTGGCCCTTGAAGTTTTGCAGTGTTTCTATATCATGTAATTGGGGTTTATCCCTATTGCTTTTTAATAAGAAATCAGGTTCCTATCAACTTCAAACCTTCAGCTAAAGATAATTTGGAATGTTAACATTATTATAAAATTTGCAAATAGTGGAGTGAAAAATCAAATCACCTGGCAACATAGAAAACAGCATTTTCAAGCATGAGTAATTTATTAGCACATCCAATGGCTAGGGCACCACCTGAACCACCTTCTCCAATAACTATAGATATAATTGGCACCTTCAGACCAAACATGGATCTCAAATTTTGAGCAATCGCTTCACCCTGCAATCATGAAAATCAACTAATCAATTAACCTTGTAACAAAAGAAAGCCAAAGAATCACAGGGAGCCTAACTAGCTACATACTTGGCCTAGTTCCTCTGATCTAACGTCAGCATAAGCCCCAGGTGTGTCAATGAAAGTAACTATGGGGAACCCATGATGATCTGCATACTCCATCAACCGAAGAGCCTTCCTGTAACTGTTTGAATAGGAAATTTACCATCAGTGTTAAATGCAGATAAAATCAATGTCAAATTGAGTTCATATCCTATCTTAAATCAAGTCGAGCTCTCATATCAACTACAGTTCCTAGTGGACATACCCATGAGGAGTTGGCATCCCAAAGTTACGCTGAATGTTTTCTTTAGTATTTCTACCCTTTTGGTGACCAATGAACATATAATTTCTACCATCTATAGTTCCCAAACCAGTAACAATAGCAGGATCATCATAACCTGCCCGATCACCATGGAGTTCAACAAACTGAAACATGAGGAAACAAGAGAATTCAGTTAAAGTGGTTCAATAACAAAAAAACTAATAAAATATGTATTACGAAAATGCAATAGACCTTTTCAGTTATGTTAAAGATGTGATCAAGGAAAGTTGGCCTGTTAGGATGCCGTGCAATGTTGACCCGCTGTATAGGAGTCAGATGCGTATATAAATCCTTTAAAGCCTGAAATAATAATGCAAGTGGTGAAAGAATGAGACTTATAACCATTTTACTGTTAAAATTCTAGGGATTGGGAGGAAATGCTGAAAACAAAAAAAAACAGAAAAATATATATTCGAATTTTGAATAATGAAACTCAGAAAAATTGTATTAACAAAAAAAACTAACTTCTAACCCTATTTATACTGATAATACAGGTAAAGAACAAGTGCAGTACATACAAGCCCAAGTCAATAACACTCACAAGTTACAACACACTAACACACTAATATTCTGTATCACAAGATACCCTAATAGTGAGTTAAATATAAAGAAAAATATGATCTGGAGAAAGAGAAGAAATAAAACAGTTGTGGTAAAGTTGAATTTGCATTTCATAAACAGATATATACTGTAGGCAACTAAGAAGTCAAAGCGAATATAGGATTTGCCACAAAGGGATTGCCAACATGAATCACAGTCAAGCTTAACTAATTTGCTTAAAATATGACTAAATAAGCATAGACTAAAAATATGCTATATATTCAATCTTGCAAGTGACAATCAGAGAGCAGCACGAGAACTCTTGTTTTACATATGACGCTGAGCACATAATTCATTCCAGAAATCATCACCAGTTTTCTCATTCAAGTAATTCAGTTTTCTTAAGAACAAAACTTATTTGTTATGACAGCCAAACCTGCTGATACTTGGACTCCAACGAGAGAATCTGATCGCTGAAGTCCAGCCCAGTTTCGTTCGCCATCTTCCGCACCTGTTTCCAATCACAAATAGCACTCCTATTAGCCCATTAACATAAAGCACGACCTCAACGAATCAGACAACTACAACAAAACAACTCATTCCCACTCAAGCAAACAAAGCACACAGCAACGCACACAAAGAGAGTAAATTAGAAGTTACATCAATGATCTTCTTCTGCAGATCAAGAAGAGGCTTTTCAAACTCTAAGGTGACAGGCTTTGACTTCTCATTGAGTGGCTTGAAATATGAAAGGTGGGTCAGCACCCCACCTTTCACATTGGGATCAGGGTTAGCAGGCCAGGGATATTCATGCTTCTTCACCTTCCTCATCTTAGCACCAACAGTAAAATCCCTCCTCTTCAAAACCAACCTTCCCTTCCCCAAGGTTCTCAAAGGAACACCACTGAAACCGCTGGTTGAACTCCTTAAAAGATCCGAAGCAGAAGCAGAAGCACCAGCAAGAGATGCAGAAGCACCAGCAAGAGATGCAGAAGCAGCAGCCATGTTTCCCTCCAAACTCAATCCCCCAAATCAGCAAAATCTAAAAACAAAAGCAAAGACACAATAAGATCACCAAAAACCAACTCTCAATAAAGAAACATAGACACAGAATCGACAACACCCAGAAAGGAAATACCCAAAAAAGAGTGAAAAAGAAAGAAAAAAAACTTTTATCTCGATCCCAAAAAAAAAAACAAATCTTGCCATGAACCCATTTGGGTTACTTAACTAAGCTCCACTTTCACAAAATCCAAGCAACATTAAGCAAGAGTTTCAAACACCCACAATCAAAACAAACCACAACCATTTATTCAAAAACCATAAAACAAAACAAGCTCCTGAAATTGAGGAAAGTAAAGTCCATTTTGTATGAATAAAAGGGGGGTTCTAGGAAAACTACCAGGGAGAAGCTGAAGATCCAGGAAAAGTGGCGGAGAGAAAGAGAGCAATAATAAGTGAAAGACAATGGTAAAAGAAAGAGAATGCGATGGAATAAAGGGTGTGTGATGCTTCGGGGAGATCGTCAAATGAAAGAGGAGGAGAAGGGAGTGGTTGTTGTAGGGAGTGGAAGGCAAAGGAATGAGATTGGGGTTTTGTTGTTCAAAGAAGGAAAAAGCCAAACACCAAAGTAAGGAGGCGATACTTCTTATGCTACCCTCTCCGTGTGTCACAACTCACAATAATGAGCCAGCTTTTTTCGGTTTGGCCGTTAAGCTACACAACACCTCACTCCTCTACACAAGTAACAACACAAAATTCTTTCCAACATAAACAAAAAATGTGCATTGTGAAACTCACACCACACCAGAGAATCAGATATTGAAATTTAGTGATTTTTTCTTTTAATAATGTGGTGTGAGGAATTTTATATTTTTTGTACATTTAATCTTAGAGTATTTATGTCTATGTATACTCTTTTGAATATTTTTTTAATTAATTAAAATTTATTAAAAAAATATAAAAATTGATCGATCTCACACTTTGTTTAATAACTTTATTTTCATTTTGTAATTTTTAATAAATTCTAACTACATTAAAGGATTGTGTTATTAGTATTTCTTATTAAAAATTATTGCATATTATCAATTATTAAAGTTAATTTAGTAATGTTTAATGAAGTAATTGAAATAATATGTAGATAATATTATGGTTGAACCTTTTTGTTATCATTGAAATTTAAAAAATAAAAATTATTATAAATTTAATTTTAAAGTAATTATTATAAAAATGAGGAGTCTTCTTATATGTTTCAAACAATATATAATAGGATAATTGTATAAAGAAATGGATAAAACATGTTTTAGATTTCTTAATTTTTAGTTAGACTTGGCTTTTTACCATCTATAATGTAAGAAAGTGAATGGTAATATGGTATGATTTAATAAATTAAGAATATACTTATGGTTGGAATAAAATAATTAGGTGCTTTGCTTATATTCTAACATCTTATTTTACCATCTATAGTTAATTATTTATTTAGAAATTTTTAAATCTTTTTATCAATAATATTTTTTTTACATTTGCAATATAATAAAGTTAATAATAAAATAATAATTTATCAATTATATTAAAAATTTCTAAAAAATTAAATATGATCTCACATATTTCAGTTTAATTTTTCTATATTTTCGCAATCAAATTTTACATTATTGATCAAGTAGAAATTGTTTTAGACATGATTTTTAAAATAATTGATATAAAAGTCAATAATTAAATGTCAGTGAAAAAAATATTAATTAAATTAGTTTTATATAATAAATTTAATTTTATTCATTAAATTATTTTTTCAAATAATTTTAATTTTAAAATTATGTGTATTAAAACGGCCACCTAAAACATTAAATAATATAAGAATGTGTCGTTTGAGCATGGATAGATTAGAACCGTTAGTAACGCATGTTTGTGCAGTTGTGCTTACATTTACAATCTGTCATCGTCCCCGTACACGTGCCTGCTCTGGTACCTTCTTTTACTTAACTTTTTTAATTATAGATATAACTTAATAAATGTAACTTAGACCCATAAAATATCGGCATAGATTCAATTTATTAGCCACACATAGCTTGTTTTCTATTATATATAGTCATCAAAAAAAAAATTTGTTTTCCAACAATATTTTTAAACTTGAGAAAATATATAAATATTAATTAAGAAAAAAATATTAAAGTTGACTTGAGAGTTAAGATCTCTACATAATTTCTTTAACTAGTAATACGCAAAATTAGTGAATATTTTTTTATTAATAATATAGTTATAAAAAATAATTTTTATGTAACTAATTTAATTTAAAATTAAAATTATAAACCAAACGAAGATATTGAAAAGTATATTATATGTATTATTGGGTTAAGTGTTTATATTGGTTAAAGGTTTCTCAAACCGAAACGAATAGAAGAAAAAAAATTGAAGGATCGACGGAGAAGAAAAATTTATAAAAGTCAAAGTTTGTTGCCAAATTTGGTGGTCTACTAATTCCATTTCATTTAAACGATGGAATTAATAACATTTTTTAATTAGTATTTTAGATGTTAAATATTTATTATATAAATAAAATTTATATTAAATTATATAAATAAATATTATATATTTTAATATATAAATTATATTAATTTAAAAATTATATAAATAAATACTTATTAAAAAATTAAGAGTCTCCAAGTGTGTTGATATCACGTGCTAAGATGATATATTTTCATACTTAAATTTGTTTCTTGTTTTGAGGTAGATTTTTCTTAGTTGTGTTGGACGTTTTTCTCTAAGTTCTTTATAATGGATTTTTAAAAAGACTTATGTAAGTTTTAACTGATGTTAATTTGCTTGTTATGATATGTTATAATCACACCATATATTATTTAGTCCCTTTTTTTTCTTAAGGAAACATCTCTTGCCCTAAAAAATATATATTACATCTATCAAACTCAAGTACATACATGGTAAGAGTTTCTTTTGTTTGTTCATTTGCTAAAACCTTATTTGATTGTGTCTCTTAGATTATTAGTCATATGTTTTTATTGTCAACCTCCATCCCACTTATATTGTTAAAATACAAAATAAAAATTTATTTATATATTAACAAATTTCTAAATTAATAAGTTAAATAAAAATATATATTATATAAAATAATGTATTACACTTTGTGCACTTACAATCTTAACAAAACTTAATCTTTAGTTCTGACTATAAATATTTCGTATTAATATCATTGTTGGTTATCCAAAAATATAAGAATAATATCACAGAATATCACGTGAGTATAGTACCAAACAGGGCATAAAACTTTTCATTACCTTTGGTAAATGATAATGGAAAAACTCAATTCAATTAAAATATACAAATACAATATCACGTCCAAAAGTAAACAGTTTAATAGCAGTTTAGCGATTTGAATGATGCATGAGACGAGTATGCTTGTTGCAGAAACATCCTCAAAAGTAACCAAACATAATCCGAGAAAGTAATGATTGGGGAAGCCTTACTAGCTTTGGCCACCAAAGCTATCACGGTTATCATGCTGCCACCCATAACCCTGACCATCATGCCCATGCTCCCCAGAATAGTAGTTTTGTTTCAAATGTGACATGTGAGGTGGAGGTGGGGGTGGTGGTGGGAGGGGCATGGGTTGTGGTGCCAATATACCTTTGCCATCCCTTGGATCCACAACCATACCACCCTGTCCTTGTTCAAAAGGCACACCACCAATTCCTGAATTCCAGGGCTGGGGATAGTTTCCTGGAAAATTTGGCCCACCTTGTGGAAAACCCAATAATGAACTCTGGTCCCCACCTATATCAGCGGCCGAGTCTTGCCTAGGCATGTCATATGGAGCAGTATAAAATGGTTGACCTCGTTCGTTTGGGTAAGGGGGATAACCAAATGGCATAGGAGGGTTCAGCATTGGGTTTGAAGTAACCAATGAGGGAACATTGGAAGGTTGTGCAGGGTGCATTGTTGGATACTCAGGGAATGGGGTCTCTGGACCCACTGCTTGTTGCCTGTCAGCAAACTGGGAAGGTTCTTGAGGGGGATGCTGCATGTCAAAACTCTGTTGATGAAAGCCCTGTTGTCCACCTCCAACAGAGCCGGACATGGTATCTGAAGGGTGATGTTGGCCAAAATATGGTGGCTTTTGCGGCAGGGTTTGCCTTGAAGGTGGTTGCTCTCTAGGTGTCTGTCTACGAGTTTTGTCTTCCAGATCATGTTGCTGGGAATTTGAACCAGGAGAAAAAACTGGTCTTTGGGGACCTCGAGCAGTGGAATCTGAAGCTGTAGATTGCCTAACGCTCTGTGCCTCTGACTCGTTTCCATCTTCTTTATCAGCATTGGGTCGAAGAAGGTTGGCATGGCTGTCTTGGATATGAGATTCAAAGTCAGCTTTCTTCAAGAAAGACTTGAGACAATGAGGAGCGGCACAAATGAGGATTCCTTCCATCATTTTGATTGTTAGAATCTTCTGGATTCTTTCATCACACCTGTATTCCAAGAAAGATGGAAATCATTTTTTAAATAAATATAAGATATTATAAAAATAAATAAATAAATTTTTTATACATGACATGGAATCTATCAATTTTAAAAAATTCCCTTGGTCAATAGTAAGGTCTGTTACGAACCAACTATCACGAAAGCTTAAGCCATTGGGTAATATCTCATAAATGGTTTTATATCCAATATGCATCCTCTCACACAAAGCCCTCTGAACTTGGAAATGTAAACTATGAACAAGCCCATCTTGACTTGTGTTTAAATGCATCTTTTTATTTAAGTAATGGGAGCAGTGGGAACTGAACTCTAAACCAATTGGTCATAGAGTTGGTGATGCCATGTCATTTACTAATATCCCAAAAGCTGAAGTTGTTGGATGAAAGCTCATGAATGGTTTTATCTATCGTTTGACATACCTCTGTCCTCAGGTTCCCTAAATAGTGAAAATACAAGGCAAACAGTAAATAAATGAATAAATAAAGACACCTCTTCCATGCCTATTTAAGTATTTCTAGTATCTCTAATATTGCAAAGTGGAACAAAGTATTTCTACACATCATACGCAACTATTAAAGCTGCAAGAGTTTGAACTGTGTGCAGCTGGTCCCACATTAATGTACAAATCAAAATATGGCACCCAACCCATACTGGGTGCAAATGATGTGTAAGTAAGCAAGAGGTGTTTACAAATATTTAAGAATGAATTCTTAATTCTAAAATCATATTTCCATAGTACTTAAAAGTTAAAAGTAATATCAAATTCACTGAAAATCATGTAAAAGGAAAAGGTTTAATGGCGCCTTTAGAAATATAACATCCAAATGCACCTCTTGCTTGAAAATTGAAAGGCATATGTAGTATACCTTTAACTTAATTAATGTGAAAGATATTGGTAAAAAGACAAAAGAGAGGGCCAGTTAAGATGAAACCCCTCCTAAACTTAGTAAGCAAACATTATGATCCAAAGTGAAGTCCTATATGAACCCAAACAATGAGTTAAAGGTTAAAACATACAGCTAGTACTAGTACCAAGCAAACATATGATCCATAAACCACTGGAGTTCGTTGATTTACTGTATGAAGATAAGATAAGAAATATCCTTACAGGTAGCACATTGAATCACTTCTAGCACAATCCAGACAAAAGGCATGTTCACAAGGGCTCTGCAAGAACATAAGCCTGTTAATTTACTGTAAGCCAACATCAAGATATTTCACTGGTTCTAACACATTTTTCAGTGATTAAGAGGGAGGTAAACAAATAGAAAACATATCCTACCACAATTTCTGAGTTCAAGTATCTTGGATCTATATTATAAAATTATGGATAAATTAATGAAAATACATGCACGATACAAGTTGGGTGGTTAAATTAAAATAGAGAAAGACATTAGAGGTTATTTGTGACTGCAAAATAGAAAATTAAATGTCACAAAAATGAGAATGTTAAGATGGATGTGTTGCCACACAAGAAGGATAAAATTTGGAGTGACTGCATATGAGAAGATATTAGTATGACACCTATCAAGGAAAAGATGACAAAAATTCAGTTAAGTATTTTGAACATGTGCAAGGAAGGCTACTGAAGACATCAACAAAGAGAGCATATCGCGTGGTTTTTAGCCAAATGAAAAGGGATAGGCAAAGACCAAGGGCATCAGAGGAAATTATTAAAAGAGGTCTCGTGGACTTGTGGTGAATAATATTCATAAGAATTTGGGTTTTAACCAAGGTCAATAGCATCGTGTTTGTGTGATTCATGTAGACAACCTCACATAGTAGGATAAGGCTATTGTTATTGTTGTAGCACATTTTCAGTGTGAAAGGACAAACACAACCTAAATTTAAAACATGACAGCCATGTCACTAAACAGGTCCGCCTCTGAAAGCATGCTTTACGTCTAGAACACAGAAATGCAAACATGCTGCATAGGGAAAAATGCATTGGATGCAATTACAATATGCATTTTGCTGTTTTCAAGTAAATTTCAGACAAAAATGCAACACCATCAGTGGGATAACTAGAGTTTCATGAAGAAATGCTAAAGAATAAAACCAAAAGTCTATTATAAGAATATGCCAAGAGGTGAACAATAACCCTGTTTAGCAGAAAAATAAGAAGTTCACTCCAAATCAAAGGCGTATAATAACATACAACTTATATTCACATAAAAGCTCTAATAAAAGAATTATATGGACATGAAAAAGAAGTGAGTTCCCACTAAATAACCAGTCAGCATTTCAGCTAGCATACTCTCTTCAATAAATTTCTTTTCTCTTTCTAGCATTATACTTTGCAAGAGGACGCAGGGTGAAACTAGACCAAAGAATATTTCCATAAACGAACACTTTTGAAACAAATCCCAAACAAAAAAGCTAAATTGGAACCAAACAACTTAGATCCTGCCATGATCAAATGCATCCATCCTAACAAGGAGAAATCTCAAATGAAAAAGATGCTACAATGCATAAGCAGTTACCAGCCGTCCATAAATGGCAATGGGAAAATCACAGCGAACACAGAAATGGACCCGCTCCCCAAGCTGGCGGCGGGACCTGCGGCCCGAAGTCTTAACAAGGGAAGCAGCAGTGGCTGCACCAATGCCCTTTGCAACAGGAAGATCAGCAAGGACCAGATGGTCAGGGCATGCAACTGTAACAGTCTCAACAGGTGACAGCTTCACCCCTGCCGACCCTTCTGATGCAGGAGCCTTACTAAGCCGAATCTGAAGCATTTTTCAATCAAACTTCGGCCCCTAACTCTCAAAACCTTTCAAACCACTGCTCCAAATTGGGAATAGTGTTACAGAAAAATACGCCTCCTCCTTCTTTAACAAAACAAAAAACAAGAAGGAAACAATTTCAGATTCAAAAACAAAAAACTGTGAATAACAAATAAGTGACTTATATCCAGAGACACCAATTAAAACCAAAACAAAAAGCTGAAAGAGAAGAATTATAAGCATTCCATATGAACTGCGTAAGCATATCACATTAATCAAATGAAAGACGTGTATATCGAAGTTGTAGAAGAACCCAGACGCACGAAAATTATTTGAAATAAATCAAATTACAATAAACAAGAATGCCGTGAATTTGCGGTGAATATTGAATCTGGCGTTAGCAAAACCAGAGGCATCTGTGCTCATACAGGTTCAAATTCAGGGATGAAAAATGTAATAATACACTACTAAACCCTATTCAAAAATAAAGAGAAAAAGAGAGGGGATTTTGATTGAAGAAGAAAAGTGAGAATAAGAACAAAGTAGCATCGATTGCAGAAACTAACTTGCAATTGACGAATCTAGAAGCCTTAGTCTCGGATTTGTGTCGCTCTGCGTTCTTCCTTCGTTCGTTCCCTAAGCAGAGGCTCTCAAATAAACTGGCTTGCTGCAAATTGCAATACTGTGATTTAGAAAATATATTCGAGTAACATTTTAGTCCCACCACATTAGGCCCTTTTTATCATAGTCCCTCCAAGTTTTAATATTGCAATTAGGTGTTTGAAGCGTATGATGTAGAAGTGATTAAAATCCAACAAAATCGATTTAAAAAATAGAAAACTCATACAAAATTGTAAATTAGCAATTTTGTTTAATTTTTAATTTTTAAATTATGAGACTGGGTTGGGTTCGATTTGTAATTTGAAATGTGAATTTTGTCCTAACCAAATTCAACTGTATTTATATGTAAATATATTTTTGTGTCAAAATGTGTAACGTTAACACAACATAAAAAAATGTGTTTTATAAAATTGTCAATTTTTTATTTCTTTGAAATGTACCTTTTTATAATTATAAATTATTAAACTAAATTTTAAAATGAAAAATTATAAATCATTTATAATGTTTAAAAATAATTTTATTTTAAGTGATAAATTATATATATATATATATATATATATATATATA